GGTCTCAGTGCTTTAATGTTTAGACATGTACTGAATGCTATTGGTGATGATGACACTGGGTTCGGTCTAGAGGAAATTGTCAAGACAAAGAGGATCAAGCAGGAAATTCGACAAGAAGATATTTCGGAATGGTTGGCTGAGCTAGAAGCAGAACAAGAGGGACGTGAAACCAACCGTGGAGACTAAAACAGATAAGGTGGTTACGATGAACATCATATTTGCGCATGAAGATAGAAGACCGCCATATTTGTAGAAGCGCCCCCATGCGTCGGTTTATTGATGCGCTCGAGATGAGTGATGTAAGGCGTTAAAAAATAGTGCCTCGGAAAAAACCTCACTCTGCCTTCTTCAAGCAAATCAGGATGCGGTTCAAGTCCTCGCTTCAAAAACGACGACGGCGCAATGAGATCAGCAATTTTCGAATCATCACCTTAAATTTGAAGCCATTTTTGGAATACTCTTGGATAATGCTTAAAAATAAGAAAAGCAATCTACCACTGTTAATATTGTTGAGGGCTTTTAGTTTCATAGCAGTGCACTGACGCTGGAAGAACGGGTTCAAAACACTTTCAGGCTCCATTGACCTCAAAAACCAAACTACTGGATCTGTCTTGCTTCATTCACACCATTTTATGTGCTAAAACGTGAAATAACTCACCCGCTTTCAGCACTGAATTGCATAACGTCAATAAGTTCATCAATCAAATTCATCTGTTTGTCTGTAACAATCCACATATTTACATGTATGTAAAGATTAGGGTAAACTGTGATAAAAAACGATTCAGTGCGAGAGTATGAGACAGTCCATGAAAAACATGCGGGGTTGATCTCCGAAGGTAAATTTACAAGTTTTCTGTTTAATTTTTTTAATACCTAATAGCTGCTAATTCCCTCATCAAAACATTTTCTTCAGAACAACTGGCACTCACGATTTGGTTTCGGACAACTTTCAGAAACACTAACGAAATTGAACGGACGCATATCCTCCGCAAACGGTAGACGAAGAGCTTGAAGGTACTGGAATATTAAGTCGCCGTTAGAGATTCCGACGGATCAACTTCCAACTCACAACAAAATCAAGTTCCTCATCTCGGTGAGGAATAAGCGCCATTAGCTGCAGGTGTTTGGCGGCATCTGAGGCGTATCGGCAAATAGCCACCACACCGTTCTCCAACATCGCAGAAATGAGCGAAACCGTCGTGCGCATCGCTTCCTGAATGAATGCGTTGAGCAGGTTAAGAAAACAATCATGACGACACGCGCTCGCTGCGCTCGGAGTGACACACGTTTTTCTCAAGGAAACGAACCAGGTCTCTCTCTGAGGTCTTCTTCTCCCAGCCTGGAACAACAACGAACGAATTGCGACCGATGAAGAAGCATTCCTTTATCTGAACTTACAACGATTGATTCAGTTTTACATCACAAACTCAACACAGGTATAATTGGAAAACAGGTAACGTCAGAGTGAGTTTGACTAACGTTCTCCCTTTTCGTGAACTGGATAAGTTTCATGCATCCTCTTTGTTCGCCCTCGTTAAAATTGTGCCGATTGTAACGATCTTCATCATCTTCTCCTATAGGCACCTTCGTGTCTCCAAAATAGTAAACTGTAAAGCATTATTAGGAGGATCGTCGTGAAAACAAATAACATTGTTAACTTTTTTCCAGAACGACCTTGTATTCTCTTTTCTCTTTCAGTGAGATCTGCGAACTGTGAGGAGCTCGACTCGGCCTGCACCATTGGCCGGTCTAGTCGTACTCAAAAAACGGGACTGCCTGTGCATCTAAATCAAGAATGCCAAGCGAATTCCTATAAAAAGGAGGCTAGCGCTTCAACTCTGAATTACCTCCACTCCTTCTTCGTTAACAAGCACACTTTTGAGAGGATTTTTTGCAGCCACTGATTTTGTATACATTGCAAGTGGAAGACGAACTCCTGGCGCTATTTCCCAGTTTTTACGGATCGCCCGACTATCAACTACCGGAGTCGAGAAATGGTGAACAACGGAGACCGCATCCCGAAAAACACGCAAAAATATAATTTGAAACCTGAGACAGAATTCGCCTTGAAATAAACGAGAAACTAACTTGAAGCCATAACTGATACCATCAGTATGCTTGACAATATCTAGCACAAGAGATTTCGCTTCATGGGCATCTCCAGCCGATTCGCTGTCAATGCCTCTGCAAGAAAACACGTGCTTCCGCAGTTTAACATTCCTAGACCATCGAGATAATATCGTTTACAGTAATAATAGACCACATTCAATCCTACTTTGCTGGGCAAGTTTCATTGAAAATACTCATTTCTGCTCAATATTTCTGTAGTACGGCGGATGCGGCATCCTGCTTACTATAAAGCGCTTCGTCTGTCGTCTGTCGTTCTGTATGTCTGTCACGAAATTCCCTAGCTCCTCGGGATCCGCCTGGACCGGGTCAAGTGTGGGATGGGTGGGCAAGGTCTCACGAAGTACAAAACACACATCAGCTAAGCGGAGCCCCGCCCACAGAGGGCGTGGCGTGCGTCGAAATGAACTGTACCGAAGACCAAGATTTCGATTTCAGTGACAAAACAACCTCGAAACTGGGCCAAAAAGTGGGGTAAAGGTGTGCATTGGTAAGTCACATCGAATTAGGGAGACCCACCCCCGGTGGGCGGGGCGTTCTCCAAAAAAGCAGTGCTTTATGAAAAATTTCATAACTCGGTTGGGAGAAAGCCTACAGAAGCAGAAAACAAATTGGTGTAAGGGAGCAATGTCTAACAAATATACACATTCACCAACACAACTGCCGTGGGCGGAGCGCGCTCTGAAGTGTACGACGTTTTCTGCAAACCTTCATAATTCGGGCCGGAGAAGTCTTAGTGAGCCGGAAAAAGGTGGATAGAGGTGGGTGAAGGAGTGGCTCCCACTGCTATTGGTGGGCGGGGCATGTCCAAAGTGGGCGGAGTTTGCGACGAAAATTCATAACTCGGTTCCAAGAAGTCCTGGAGACCGGGAAAACGCAAGGGAGTACAACTGCTATTGGTGGGCGGAGCGTGACCAAAGTGGGCGGAGTTTGCGACGAAAATTCATAACTCGGTTCCAAGAAGTCCCGGAGACCGGGAAAAAGGTGGTGAAGGAGTGGAGCCCAACTGCTATTGGTGGGCGGGGCATGTCCAAAGTGGGCGGAGTTCTCCAACTTTGTAACTCGGCTCCAAGTAGTCCTGGAGACCGGGAGAGAAGTGGGCGAAGGAAAGGAAGTGAATTTCCACAGGATACACCAAAAAAGTAGGTTTCACCGCCAAAAATATAAATCGGCTCAGACAGTTCAGAGAGAGGTTGGCGAGGAAGAAAAGATAGGTGGTACATGCAAAGAAATAGGCGGAGTTTACCACGAGATTTATAAATCGGTCCAGAGGCAGTCCGAGACCGGGAAAAACGGACAATTGGCTGACGAAGGAGGGAAGGTGAAAAGCCCACACTTCTGATAATATGTTCAGAATTTTCCTCCTTTCCCTATCAAAGAAAAGAAGAACCGAAACCATGCATAATTTTTACTCAAAGTCAAACAGAAAACAGATAAGCAGCGACTCACATTGCAACCAGCGTCGCTTCCATGGCATTTATTCCATTAATCACAGCAGATACCTCCTTTTTACGGTTAGGGCATTTTCCGAAGCCATTCGTGAAAATCTGAGTTTTTTACTACACAATGAAAAAAGAAATGGCTACAACTTCATCAGAGCACTCGCCAGTCTCATTCGTTTTGAAATCTCACCACCGCTTCACTCCACCCAGGAAGTCTCCGTGTTGCATTGGGAATTCATGAAACTTATCACTTACATTACGCCTTTCCTTCCTTTGCTCTGGGCTTGCTCTACAAAATGACCATCACCACTCAATTCACAGAATGTCCTGACTCCCTAAGGGAAACTTTCATAGGGGGAGGTAGCAAGAAACGATGAATACAAGCGCCGAAGTCACTGACCAAAATGTTTTT